TGAGACTGAAAGCTTGTTATATGAGTATGAAAGCATAGTATGTAAATATAAAAGCTTGTTACATGAGTATCAAAGCTTCTTATATCAGTATGAAAGCATGTTTTATGAGTATGAAAGAGTGTTATATAAGTAAGAAAGCTTGTTACATGAGTATGAAAACTTGTTATATAAGTATGAAAGCATGTTTTATTGAGTATGAAAGCGTGTTATATGGTTATGAAAGCATAGTATATAAATATGAAAGTTTGTTACATGAGTATGAAAGCTTGTTCTATCATTATGAAAGCATGTTTTTTTTAGTATGAAAGCGTGTTCTATGACTATGAAAGATTGTTATATGAGTATGAAACTTGTTATGTGAGTATGAAAGCATCTTATATGAGTATGAAAGCTTGCTGTATGAGCATTGAAGCTTGTTATATGAGTATGAAAGATGTTTATATGTGAATATGAAAGCTTGTTATGTGAGTATGAAAGCGTCTTATATGAGTATGAAAGCTTCTTATATGAGTATGAAAGCTTGTAATATGAGCATGAATGCGTGTAATGTGCGTATGAAAGCTTGTTGTGTGAGTATGAAAGCTTGTTATTTGAGAGTGAAAGCTTGTTATAGGAGCATGAAAGATTATTATATGAGTATGAAAGCTTGTTATATGAGTATGAAAGCGTGTTATATGAGTATGAATGCGTGTAATGTGAGTAATAAAGCTTGCTGTGTGAGTATGAAAGCTTCGTATAGGAGTATGAAAGATTGTTTTATGAGTATGAAAGATTGTTATGTGAGTATAAAAGCGTGTTATATGAGTATGAAAGCTCGTTATATGAGGATGAAAGCTTGTTATGTGAGTATGAAAGCTTGTTATATGAGTATGAAAGCTTGCTGTATCAGCATGGAAGATTGTTATAGGAGTATGAAAGATTGTTATAGGAGTATGAAAGCTTGTTACATGAGTATGAAAGCTTGTTACATGAGTATGAAAGCTTCTTATATCAGTTTGTAAGCGCGTTTTATGAGTATGAAAGCGTGTTATGTAAGTATCAAAGCTTGTTACATGAGTATGAAAGCTTGTTACATGAGTATGAAAGCTTGTTATATGAGTATGAAAGCGTGTTATATGAGTATGAAAACGTGTTTTTTTGTATGAAAGTTTGATATATAAGTACGAAAGCGTTTTATATGAGTATGAAAGCTTGTTATATGAGTATGAAAGCTTGTTATATGAGTTTGAAAGCTTGCTACATGAGTATGAAAGCGTGTTATGTGAGTATCAAAGCGTCTTTTGTGCGTATAAAAGCTTGTTAGGTGAGTATCAAAGCTTGTTATATGAGTTTGAAAGCTTGCTACATGAGTATGAAAGCGTGTTATGTGAGAATGAAAGCGTCTTATGTGCGTATGAAAACTTGTTGGGTGAGTATGAAAGCTTGTTATATGAATATGAAAACGTGTTATATGAGTTTGAAAACGTGTTTTTTTAGTATGACCATAAAAGATCAGAAAAACCAAATCTACACTGACAAAGATCACTGATTATTTATATCAGAGCAAATACACAAGCAAATAGAGCGGCTTAGCTTAGCAAAAGTATTACAGCTATAAAATGAGTGTAGCTAAAGCAACACTTTGACAAGATACTGACCAGATGCGTAGACAGCCAATTAAGTCGGCTGCGACCAATTATCCCCTGAGTCAATTAACTCGACACCCTACTGAGTGAGTAATCTCGGCTGGGTTCAATAACGGGAAATAAACACAGAGGGCCTATCCCTAAAATATGTCACTTAAGCCACAAACCTGGGGAGTCAAGACACAGGATCCGACAGAAGTATAAATATGCTACGCGCGGCCCTCAGAGAGGTCAATCTCTCCTGGACAGCTGGTACACAACAGACTAGGGCGCTTAGCCAAACTGTGTTTCTAAACACAGGGAAAACACGAATAGCATATACTGAAGTTGTATCTATACTGAAGTTGTAAGTATTAATTGAATTTAATTATTCAAGTGGGAGCTCTACTACTGTCAAGTGAAAACGAAAGTTTGAACATTTTAAAGTTAAATAACAAATTAAATATTATTCAAGTACCTTGTTCCTTATTTATTTATTTTTTAACCAAATAGGTATTCGTCCGAGCCATATCAATTCAGGCTTAACTATGATACGAAGCTCACACGTAACTGAAATACTCATTTATTTGCTTCCATGTCCATTCTCTCCATATTTTGTATTCCTGGTGATGAAGAGGAAGCGATTGTCATTGTAAAATAATGACGAAGTAGAATATCTAGGCACAGCATTTATTTTAAAAGAGAGCTCTTTATCAAGTCAACAGGAAATAATATGTTTACATATATAACCAGCTTTTCACGGGCATATTTCATGCTTTCCTTCTCCGAGGTTCTGAAGGCTACGACGGATGACTACAACAAGGAATTGGAAGAATCAGCTTTACCAATTCAGTCGACTTGATCACACCCTGCTCCGGGGCGGTCGGGTAGCTTGTGGTTAAAGCGTTTGCTCGTCACGCCGACCCAGGTTCGATTCCCGTAATGGGTACAATATGTGAAGACCATTTCTGGTGTCCCCCGCTGTGATATTGCTGGAAAATTGCTAAAAGCGGCGTAAAACCATACTCACTCACTCACTGGTCACCTTGAAGACCCGGGTTCGATTCCCGACATGGGTACAATATGTGAAGCCCGTTTCTGGTTTCCCCCGCTGTGATATTGCTGGAATATTGCTAAAAACGGCGTAAAACCATACTCACTCACTCACTCACACCCTGCTCCGTTAGAGGAATAAGAAGAGAAAACTGCTAAGCATGTAAATGTCATTACATTACATTTGTGCCCCCATTCTTTATATCCTGGAATATGATTGCGGGTAAAGTTTTAATTTATTTGGAAAATTGTTATTACACGTTGACATAAAGCAGTAGGGCTGATGGGCCATTACGAAATGTGCAAAACTGGACACCCCTGTAAATATAGATTTGTCAAAAACGTAGTACTGACAAAGTAGAAACTTTACCTTGTGTATGCCAAACATAGAGAAACACATTTTATAAATATTCATCTTGCAGGGTTACATTGCTACATGTCGTTTACATAATCATGAATCATACATAAAGAAAATCTTTGTGAACGAGCTTCTCATATACAAGGAAAGTATCGGAGCACAAGGAGTATACATAATGAGGGCTGGTGAGTGGCTTATGTCCTTGTGTGTAGTTTCCATATGGTATAGGCTTGCAGCCATCCAACACATCGTCCAACACACAATACAGCTAACACCACACACAAAGACATTTGTGAAAACAACAGCTTGTTTCAATGCAATAAATTTAATGAACCGTCCAAAATATTAGTTTGTCCTTGCGATCTAACAACACGTTCAATGCTTAAGTTTCCTCAAGAAATTACAAACTGAAATGTTGTTTTCTTAAGATAAGGAGGAAATAACCTGGATAATTTTTGTATTTTCTCAATGTATGTATGTCAGTGACCATTGAAATGTATGGGAAAAGTATTGTGTGGTATTTGCCATGAACTTTATCTCCAGACCATCATGCAGGAAGTTAGAACTGTGTTTAAACTGAAATGTCCTGCGCCATACATTTCTGTGGATATCTATTGTTCATCCTACATAACAAGTCCTTATGACATGGACTTTCTTCAATCGGTATGACATGGATATTTCTTTCTTTGGAGTCATTACAAATATCCGGCTCATGAATAAGCCTGTTACGACTAAACAGGAGCACTGTCTCTACACATACATGCAACTTATACGTCTGTTTTATGACCAATTGTGTTCATTCAAGAACTTACGGTTGTGTAGTCATCACATATGTCTCGTAACATAACATACACGGTTTGCTTGTCTGGTTTGTGCACCTTAGCGACATCATCACTAAACAGCATAAAATATAGTCATTATTTTTTCCCGGCGGGCGTAGTATTTTTCGTATTACCCATTCATAAAGTCTTACCTACCGTCAAAACATATGAAGATATGTAGTTACGATCAGTCCAATGAAAGACTGAACGTCAATAAAAGCCAATTTCAGCTAATGATGGCGAGCGTGTTTCCAAATATATCTAAACGGATCGGATGTTTTCAGTTCCTCTGTGAGCTGATTAGGGCTGTTATTAAACAAGAATAAAGTAATAATGAAAACGTGGTAACAGGTTCACAGGTTTATTAATGAGATAATTGTACTAATAGATGACCATAAAAGATCAGAAAAACCCAATCTACACTGACAAAGATCACTGATTATTTATATCAGAGCAAATACACAAGCGGCTTAGCTTAGCAAAAGTATTACAGCTATAAAATGAGTGTAGCTAAAGCAACACTTTAACAAGATACTGACCAGATGCGTAGACAGCCAATTAAGTCGGCTGCGAGCAATTATCCCCTGAGTCAATTAACTCGACACCCTACTGAGTGAGTAATCTCGGCTGGGTTCAATAACGGGAAATTAACACAGAGGGCCTATCTCTAAAATATGTCACTTAAGCCACAAACCTGGGGAGTCAAGACACAGGATCCGACAGAAGTATAAATATGCTACGCGCGGCCCTCAGAGAGGTCAATCTCTCCTTGACAGCTGGTACACAACAGACTAGGGCGCTTAGCCAAACTGTGTTTCTAAACACAGGGAAAACACGAATAGCATATACTGAAGTTGTATCTATACTGAAGTTGTAAGTATCAATATAAAATTTAAAGCGATGAACATGAGCTATCCAGCGGATCATTAAGGGCATACCACGAGCTAGGTACAATAATTGAAGAGGCAAAATGATTACAAATAAATGAGAAATATGTGAGTGTACATATAAAGTCCCCGAACGTCTGAAAATCATAGTTACAAAGACATTTTCAACACAAGAATAAGATAGCAAACATATTAATAGATAACATACATCCATTCAATACATATTATGAGTGTGCCAGTAAATCACAAGAGAATGAAATAATCGGGGGCAACTCATTCCCTAACACAGAATGTAATGACACTGGACACTGACGACCGCCGGACTTAACTGAGCGGTGTCGGAAATAAATCCAGGAAGCAGAGAGGTCACAAGACTTACAAAAGCAAAATAACGACCCGGTTACACTATGTTCACTTTAATCGTGCCCAGATTCTTAGCTATTGTCAATAGTGGCGTATCCTTCATTCCTGTCGTAAATCGGAGTGATATACGATACTTGAAGCCTGTGGACAAGAACAGATCCTTTTTTATCAGCACACAATTTTCATTGATACATCATTGAATAACAATTGATATGAAGAATCAAATAGCCGGTTTAAGTTTGTTGGTAATGCTTACCTTCTGTTCCCGATCCCTGAAATTGAAACACTGATTTTAGTTTAGATAAACAATGGCCCATCGACAATAAGTGATCAGCCAAGCTTCTAGTGGAATGTTTATTACAACTGCTGAATTATCGGAATAAAGGTACGTTTGAAAAAACAAAATAAAATAATAATATTTGATTTAAAATTATTCTTTTTGAAATCATAGCCTTTACATTTCTCACAAAAGTAACTTTTCCCGCTTGACTTGTGAGTGTGTTCTGCAGATGTGATATCAGTAAATCACGGTACATGCTGAGGGTTTTGGGACAGTCAGATTTTATGGTGTTGTTTGTTTGTTGATTTACGCCTTACTCAGCAAAATTTCAGCCATATTACGACGGTCTACATAATCGAGTATGCAGAAAATTCAGACACTGCGTCAAAGACATCGATCAGAAGGACACGATGACAAGCAATCAATCAAATCACTGAGCCTCACCACGCAATCCACTAAGTAGCCTCTTACAAGCATTGGTTGCTATATTCTTACCCTCCCAACGGGTTTTGGGGCAAGTGGAAGAGAATGATGTAGGTTCCTATTGAAAGAATCACAAGAGGTTTTATTGTGGAGCTTATTGATTTCCTGTTCAATTATAATTGTTAAAGCTTTGGTCCCTCACCTTTCTGTCGTTTGCGTCTCACAAGACAAATTATGGCTGTGACGATGATGCTGACAACTGAGCTCGAAGCCGAATACCCGACAATGGTGATGACAGAAGTTCCTTTCCTTGTTTCATTCTTGCTGGGGTCAGGAGGGAATGAAGCGTGGACCGTCTGTGTGATGATGGTTACATTTCCTTGCACAAACCCTGTCGGGATAATATTTTCTGTGACGTTCTGTTTATCTCCTTGTATTTCTAGAACAAATATGTGCATGTACAATAAATATATACAACACCGTACATTTAGTTTTGCATATGAAATGGATCATTACAGTAACATTTGAGGATATTAAAATTACGTATTCAGGTTTCATCATAATTGCAAATGAGACCGAAGAGATTAAGAAACAGCAAATATGAGATATTGTATTTGGGATGATACAATGTATAACCTTCAGCTATGTCTTGTTGTTTTTGTTGCGTCAGCAAAATTACAGCAATATCACAGCTGCCGGTAAGTAATCGAGTCTTGGCCACACAAACCAGGCACTGACGGAAGGAGCAATGACCCGCGCCGTACGCTTACATGTAATCAATGAAGTCACAGGGGCTGACTACCAGACACTCCTTAGGTTTTCTGGGACAACCAAGTCAAACACAGATCCCCACGGCGTGCCAACAGTACAGTAGTGATCGTTATTAAACAAATTAAGCATACCTGTATATTCATCGGATACAAATGTTGCTGTGGTAGATGTATCTAAGTTTGAGTGAATGGTAGAAGTCAACAGTTCATCTTTTGCTATTTCGACATTTGAAAGAGCTGCAACACAAACATAGTCTACAGAACACTTAATAAATATCTGCTTATCGTGTAAAATTATATTTTATTGTAAAACTGTAACTGATTATGCTCATTCAATAAGGAGTCTTAGTTCCACACAAGTCTTCTTCATAATGTGTACAATAGTCTATTCGTGGCCAAATAAAAAGGCATAATTTTATGAGAGAGTGAGTGAGTTGGGTTTTACGCCGCTTTTAACATTATTCCAGTTATATCACGGCGTGTCAGCTTAATGTAGGAGGAAACTCATTCGGTGGAACTCGGTGAGAAAGCTGTGATTGAGAGAGTGAGTTGTGTTTAACGCCGCTTTTAATAGTATTCGATTTATATCACGGCGTGTCAGCTCAACTGGGAGGAAAGCCCGAAGTGATGCAGGTCTTAGACGTTTACCATTTCAGTGAAACCCACGAGCACGGGTATGGTGCTGACAAACCTAGAAACATAATCGGGGCGAACCGGGATTCGAACCCAAAATCATAGGTTTCTGGCGTACCAAAGGGACGCAACTCAGCGAATTGCGGCGCCTTAGACGAGTGGGCCACCCTGCCCACTCAAAAATTAATGAAGATGCACGGTGCCCCAGCTATCAATCATCTGCTCAAAATTGACAATTTGGAGTAACATAACATGCAAGCTAACTATACTTATGACAATACTAGTTGCTGACAATATGAATCATAATAAATACATAAATACAACATCAACCTTTCAACAAGGAGTTTAAAAAATGAGCGAAATAAGGTGACGTTTTCCATTTAGGCAGACTTCCGTTACTGTCATATATGATAGCAATTGCAAACGGTATGTAGACAGTCAGTTTAGTTGGTTGTTACAAATGATTTTAACGAAAGCCGATGATTAAAAACTAGAATGTACAACAGATTCTCATACTAGTGTTGAAAACTGCATCAGTTTTGAACGTTTGAACAGTAACAGTATCATCTGAAATTTTCAAAAAAATTTTTTAAGGTAAATCAAGTATCGCGTGTATGATATATGGATCACAGATATTACTACCTGTTTTGTATTATCTATTTTATCTTTAATGCTGTAATTGTATGTATTCAGCAAATAAATTCGACAAAACCGTTTCCATATTCATAAATAAATCTCGATTGTACGATTCCGACTATATCATCAGCATGTGTTAATAATCACTACCAAACAGTGGACCATTGAAGATCCGGGGTAGAATTGGTCTTCAGCAATCCATGCTTGCCGTAAAAGGTGACTATGCGTGTCGTAAGAGGCGACTAACGGTATCGAGGGTCAGGCTCGCTGACTTGGTTGATGCATGTCATCGGTCCCAATTGTATGGATCGATGCTCATGATGTCAATGACTGGATTGTCTTGGTCCAGACTCGATTACTTACAGACTGCCGTCATATAGCTGGACTATTGCTGAGTGCGGCGTTAACCAATGAACAAACAAAACAAACAAACAAACCAAACAGTGATGATACCAGGTGTTTTCGAAAAGAAATGCTGATGTCAAACAGAACAGGGTAGTTAATTCAGAAAGTCCCTACATCTACAACCAACATGAAATACTCATATTCCCACCAATAGTGCAAGACTCAAGCCACTGCCCACAAAAGTAACATGGGACTTAAATAATGTTTTACTAAAATTCCTAAATAACAAAAGGCAGCAGTTCATGTTGTTACTGATATATGTGCAAGGTTTGATAAGGAAATACTAAATGGATTTTGAGTTATGCTCCAAAAAAAAACGTGGCGGAAGGGCGGACAGCACACATTCCTATATTCCTCTTTCCACTTCCTGGCGTTGGATCATAATGACATATTTTGTCTCACCACACACGTCATGGCAAAATGCTTATTACTGAATGACAGGAATTGGTTACACTACCTGTGGTAGATATTTTGACAGGTCGTGTATCTTGTCTGGTCGTAGTGTCATCTAAAATAATTAATGTATGTCAAAATTATTATCATGAGGGGTGATTTTGGCGGGGGTTAACTGTTACAAAATTATATATTAAGATGGATGAACGGACGACAACGCACCACGACATAAGACGATTAGGTGAGATAACCATTACTCATAATTGGCAAGGGTGTAAAAATGAACATGAGAGCAAGACAAGCTTCATGACACGCATTTAACTTCAATGGGAATTACGTTCACAAAAACATTATTAAATATCCTTCCTACCGGAAACGGTAAGGGTGTGTTCCCAGTCACAGCTTGTATGACCCTCTAGGCTACAGTGGTACCTCCCAGCATCAGTTGATGTGACGTCAGAGAGTTGGAATTGTACAGCGCCTTCATTCGATGATGTGATGACTTTCAGGATCTTGATCCTGGTCCAGTAGGGTTCCCATATGTAGACTTCAGCAGAGTCCATTTCAAACACATTTCTATCATTAGGGTCTTTCAGGTATATTCTTGACTGATGTTGGGGTGTCCTCATGGAAAGCAACACAGTGTCTCCCTCGTGCACTTCCGTGTTCTGAGGAGACTCAGGCACATCTACAACATAGTCAGTTTTCTACTATTAACAATATCTACAGTTGCAATGACATGAGTAGGCTAGGTGTGTTTTACACCGTATTTCTGTAATACCGTTATTCTACACAGCCACAGTTATTGTGGGTCTGTCTTAATTTGAGGGTGAGAAGAGAGCTTGCCAGAAATTGATGCGGATCTAAGTAGTTTGCAGACACAATATAACTATCCAGTTCAAGAACAGCCAAGAACTTCTATCACTTTCTCAAAATCAGAGGGAAAAGAGCAAAATCTAATCAAAACGAAAACAGAACTTTTATCAGTAAAAAAGCTCCCAAAAGAGTGTGCAGCTACTCTCACACACATGAGTCCCAAAGAGGGACGGGTCAACTGAAATTGCTACAACAGAAGGCATGTTCTTAAACACTTAAACCAACCACAACATCGGTGTTATCGGCATGGCTTGCTTATGCAAAGGAGAATATACTACGTCTCAGAGAGGAACATACTTGTATGGAGCTATGTTATTCTCAAACTGGGATGTTCCATTACTTATCTGAGGTAACAGTTGGCTTCTTAGTTGTGCATCCATTTTGAAATTTAAGTTTTTTAAGCTGTGTAACAACAGGCTGTCTAACAAATAGAAGGTTTCCCGTGACACTTGTAGTGAATACATACATTCTACGTTAAGGACATAGTCCACACTCAGGTCTGTGAGTATATTATCCCCGACCACTGTCTGACAAGTGTATCTGTCTGCTCTGTCCTTCCTTGTCACGCCACCGATAGTCAGAGTGCTGTTCATGTATCGCCCGCCTCTACATCTCCTGCTACCAGACACCAACTGATGCCTGCCTCCATTCTCCACACTCGTTCTGTTCCTCCTCCAGACAAAGTTTATGGGCAGGTTCCAACTGGGGTAACTTTTCAGAAAGGAGTTGCATGTCAGATTAACAGAACCGCCAAAGGATACCTTTTCCGGGCTCTCGATATAAGGTTCTTGAACTCCTGTTGAAAAAAAATAACCATATATGCAAATGGAGTGGCTTATCAAATACATCTGTAAGTGTGTTGTAAATGCTGTCATGATAGGGTTCAATGCCGATATCGGTTTGATGATATCACCAACGTAAATATACATTGTCAATGCAAAAGAAACAACAGTCTAGATTATCCGCCGAAACATTTGGCGAAAAGGGCGAAATATCTGTGGAATTTATATGCCTTTTTACATGCTTTTTTTCTGGAAACATTAATACCTTGTTACAGCTGCCCTGGTCTGTGACTTTTGATACATTGTGTAGACTTAGGTACCATACTCAAATTCCGGATAGTGTTTCTGTAAATGAACTACTTACGTATCACAACCAGCTGTTGCCCACAGTTGGGAATCTTTGTTCCTGGACGTTGTGGTGAACCAAGGTAGCAGCTGTACTGACCAAAGTCGTGGTCGTCAGCGCTACTGAGCACAAAGCTGAAGAGACCAGTTCCTGAGGGTGTTATATTTCCCGTGAATTCCAGTCTTGATTTTAGTTTCTCATTGGCAATGTTGAATTCGTTATAGTTCGTTATGTGAAACACTGTTTCCTTCCAAAAATCGTTTCTGATAAAAAAGTCTTTGTTTCCAGATCCATGCAAATTCCAAGCCAGAGTTGCTGTTTTTCCAAAACGAATATAAACATTTGACGCAGCTGAAAGATAAATGCGTCAAATAAAAACATTTACAATTCAATTGCTTTTCCAAACTACTACACATTTACTGAAACACCAATTTAAATACTTGTAAAATAGTTACAGAACACCCGCAATTGGATGATTACAGTTGTTATACCTACCAGCCAAGACAAATTAAATATAGCCATATGAAAAAACGGGTGTTCTTAAACCTATTTTGTGTGGTATATTTATGCATTTACATCGCATGTAGTAGCAAAGTTACATGTACTTAGGGTGTATCCATACTATTTGCCTAATACATACCCATCACGATAAGTGTCTGTCCACAATTATCAATTATGAATCCTCTGTTATCCGGCGACCGCGAATAACACTCATACCGGCCTTCGTCCTGAAACTTGACATCTCTGATGATACATCTGAACAATCCTGTTCCAGAAGATGATATGTTCCCTGTAAATGTGATCCTAGATTCTGAGTTCACGTCAGTGACATTATTGTAGTTGGTTATATGGAATATGGCTTTCCTTGCGCGTGTGTTCCAAACGGTGTACTCGTTGGTTGTAGGTCTGGGTAGAGACCATGACAGTGTAGCATTTTCTTCAACGGTAACGTTTGCTGAAAGGCAACAAGAATAGTTTTAGCTATAGAATGCTATTGTAAATGGAAGTGTAAAGATACAATCACGCGTGTACGTTCCTGCAGATTGTTTCTAACAAGCATATCCACGACGTGTATTGTGTACTTGACATTTTGAATATGACAATGTTTGGGTTCCATACAGTGAATGAGAGGTGTCCCGTGTCATTGATCGTGGCG